CTGCCGATATAATTATATTATTACAACAACTTTATTTAGCTGAAATAAACTGATTTTTGCAATATTATTTAATTTAAAAAAGAAAGATAATTATAAATAATCGAACTGTATTTTTAGTCGAGGAACCAGCCTACCTAGCCTAATTCTGATAGTCCCACCCAAGTTTTTTATGCATTTTTTGTCTTTTATAAACTCATGGACGAAAATATCGGATATTTTGGAATTTTTCAATTATTTTTTTGTAGTCACTATTATTTTAAAATAATTTTAGATTACTGATTTTACTCATATATTAGGCTGATGTACTCAATTGGTTTGGCTTTTTTTACGTTTATTTTTACGTTTATTGAAAGTTTAGTGCCATTCTTGCATTTTATCATAAAAAACCTTCACGCAAAGAAAAAAAAGTAAAAAACCATAGTAATTCTGTTGTTTTTAGTTTAATCTAGTAAGACTAATTAAATATTGTTTTGATTGAACAAGTTTTAAAACAAATATTCGACCAATTCGATACTCCGATGAAGCCCAAGCAGCACAGATTGCGATTTTGTACGAGGAATGAATGATAATATACACAAAAAAACATCGCACGGAAACTCAGAATAAGTCAATCTACAGTTTCAAATATTTTAAAAAGGCACCATGAAACGAATTTTGTACGAAGGATCAAGGACACTCAAGGTGCACAACCGCAATTGATGACCATTTTTGGTCCTTAATTCTACAATATATCGCTCAATGACATCGATGCTCTTAGAAATGAGCTATTAAATGTCAGTCAAGTTAGTATGAGGTCAAAAACAGTTATGCGAAGAATAAAAGAAGTAAAGTTAAGGCCTAGGCTGCAAAAGTTCTACGTCTTCTCCAAAATCATAAAGCTCATCGTTAAGAATTTGCAAGAAAACATATTCATTGGAATAATGATAACTGAAAAAATGTTCTTTTCACTGATGAGACCAGAATCCTATTATATAAGCTAGATGGTGGTAACCACGTCTACAGAAGAGTTGGAAAACGATTCGCCACTAGCAATCTTACCCAGACCGTTGGTTTTGGAGGTGGTGGCATAATGCTTTGGGGGGATATTAGTTGGGAAGGACACACTTCACTTGTGGAAGTGTTTGGACGGATGACTGGTGACACTCTGGTGTATTCGTTTGACTCGTTAATATTTGTTCCGAGGTAATTGTAATTTTGTACTCGTTCAATGAGATTCTGTCCTACATGTAAGTTGATATTATTGATACGTTTCTTTGTAATTATCATGAATTTGGTCTTCTTTGTATTCAGTGACAGACCAAATTCTTCACTTGGTATTTATAATTGTTTCTAAATTTTCCTTTTATTAAATTTTCTGTTTCTTTTTCGTTAATATTTGATTATGTTGAAGTGAAGAATATTTTTTTTATTTTATACATTAACCCAACTATTTTAAATGAATATAATATCAATTAACCCTCTTTTAAACACGCCTTTGAGCTATCATAATCATTATCGTAGTAAATAGCCTGAAGGAGGTGTGAAATTACTAATTGTTTATTAATAACAACAAGCTTATAGCTATTACCCAATTAAGCGTTAATAGATTTATCTGAACAGGTGTTATGATAAGAAGTAAATTAAACAAATTTAGTAAGTAGGCACTTCCGAAAATTTAATTTAAATACAGGGTAGGACTTTCCGTTGATGTAATATATCCAGAAGAAGACCTTGACATTTTAAAATTATTAAAAATATATAAGTAAGAAACACTAGTGGAAAAATATATACTTTTTTCATCTAATAAATTCATTTAATTATGTGCCATTTATATATTTTTATCGATATATAAGACGGTGAAAGCTTTTGTTTTCAAAACTTCCCAAAAATGTATTACAATTTATGATCACTATAGCTGTTTCGGCAAAGTGCACTTCTCAGAGTACTTTTGAGAAAAGCACTCTACCGCAACAGCTATAGTGGTAATAAATTAAGTTTTGTTGAATTTTTCTTCAAATATATATTACACAGCCTTTCCTGTATTTTCTACACAGCTGTACGAATGGTCATCTATGTCTACTTATCATTTATTTTAGGTCTTTAAATTCTAAATTCATAATGTAATTTATTTAAACCAGTATACCATTTACTAGACTTAAGTCTGTTAATGTTTGGGAACCTGGGTAAATGAAAACAATAATCAAGATAGAGATCACATTGAAATTGCAAGACAAGATAGAAATGACAAGATTTTATAGAAATGAAAACAATGTTTGTTAATCGGGACCTTCCTCTGAATAGCCTTAATATGCTACGTGTTCTGGACTTTGTTGTATGGAATGGAAAGCTGGACACTAAAAGTGAGTAATATAAAGAAGTTCGAATAATTTGAGATATGTCTGGCTGGCCAAAAAAACCTAAGAGAGTGATATAGTTGCAGCTTAGTAGATCTTTTCAGAGCAGCCGCCAATAATGTACAGATAGCTGTGATGATAGCCAACCTACGATCGAAGAAGAAACTACAAGAAGAAGAAGACTTAAGTCTCTCTACAAGGTCAATCATGAAACATAATAAGGAATCAAATTGATCACATAATGGTAAACAAGGGATGCCGTAATGGCCTCTCAGTTAGAAGTTAGGTTTAGATTTAAAAAGGTTACAAAAATAATAAAAAAAAAAATGTGATATGAAAAACTAAAAGATAAAGCAACATAGAAGACACTAGCACGGATTTTTTTCAGACAAGCTAAGTTACGTGGAGCAAACATATGATCCAGAAGATTTACTCCAGAATATATGTGAAACCTTTAACAAGATCAGGGAAAAATATCTAATAGAAAATAAAGACAAGAGGAAAAGTTGGATGAATGATAATATACTGCAACTCATAGAAGAAAGCAGAAAATCAAAGAATAACAAAAGAATGTACAAAAATATTCAGAGACAAATAAGAACCAAAATACGACATGCCAAAGAAAATTGGTTAAAAACACAGTGTGAAGAGATAGAGTTGTTGAAACAAAAATACGATAAATTTAATATACACAAAAAGGTAAAACAAGCAGCTGGTCTTTAAAAATCCAACACAGCTAGCAAACTGCAAGATCAACAGAGAAATATCGTCACAGATAAAAATCAAGAAATATGCATATGGACCAAATACATACAAAAACTCTTTCATGATAATTAGTCAGAATAACCTCCGTCCTGCAGTATATAATGACCACTTACCAATCACATCGGATAAAGTGGACAAAGCAATATCACAACTAAAAGATGACAAAGCTTTTGGATCTGACAATGCATATGCCGAACTCATAAGGCTATTGAACACTGACGTTACTCAACAACTAACAAAAATATTTAATGACATATATTTAAACGAAGTAATACCAAAATCATGGCTGAAGTCAACGTTTATTGGTCTACCAAAGAAGACTGAAGTCTGAGATGGAAAGACGCTGAACACGAGGATACAGGAAAGGTTGGTGTGACATATATGTGTATTTGTTGGCAATCGACCAAAAAGGACCAGTGGGATAAACTGGAAGGGTAATTAATTCCTCTGTAATTTTCGGGGTCCGATTTGTCTCCCTTTTTGAAGAAAGATGTAATGATGATTGATCTCCATTCTTGAGAAATTCTGGTTTGTTCTATTATTTTTGGATTGGTTTTAATGACGTTCTTTAGGAGTTCGTTCGGCATTGTGTTCTCTTCTAGCCCTCTCCTTTTCCTCCTCCTCCTAAAATATTTATTTCCTAGTTTGTAGTCACCTATGGTGTTGGTGTTGTAGTAGTTGAAGTAGAAGATAATTGAATTATCTGTTGACGTAAGTTAGTATTCTGTAAACTTTAGTTACATATTCCGTATTCTCCATTGTGGTTAACACATCCAGAAATACTAGTGATTTGTTATTTTCATTTTACAGACTAAATTTGATCGATTCTCCTTTACAGTTGATATTCAATCAAAACTTTGTATATTCAAGTTATATTCTGCTAAACTTCGGTGGTCTTTGGGACTCGTATAAGAGCCCTTACAAATTTATAGTCAAATTCATACTTAAAAACCGCTCAATAAAGAGATTGCTATATACATAAACTATTTAAAGAAAATTTTTTAATTTCTCTGAATTAGTAAATTTGTTGGCAAATAAATCATATAAGTAACTATATAGTTTCTATTGTATTCAATAATAGAGCATTTGATTGAATCAATTATAAATTCTACGTTGTAAATAATCTGAACACGCTCCTTTCTTGGCTTATCCGGTCCTGTGTCGATATAACGGAAATAGTAATACCGATTAGTGCAAGGTAGTTTACTTCTAAGATTTTTTGCCAGATCTAGAGCTCTCGTCTCAAATAACTGTATGTCGTCAAGGTTGTACATACGAATAATGTTATTAAAAAATCGTTTTGTGTTACATTATTTGTCATTTTCGAAATATATTTCCGGTAGTATGTCAATGAACTATAATTTTTTTTGTTCGTGGCGGAGGAATACCTTTTTAATTTGAATATTTTTATGAATAATGTAATTTTTTAATACTAAAACGGTACTTCTACATTATTTAGGACATAGTTGCTACCATTTAACAACAATAATGAAACGTTATCTTCTACAGTATGTTTTTTCCTTAGCGTGTTAAGGACATTGCTATATTGGCAAATAATATCAACATTTATTGGCCAGAATATTCTATCGTTTTCTTACTATTCAAGTCAAAATTAGAATTAGAAGAACAATATCAAGAAGAGAAGAAGCGTATTTACAAAACGAAATAGCCATAGAAACTCTGAATTAAATTAAAATATAGAAGAGAGTAAAGTAGTTCAACAGTGTATAAGCAGAAACTTGTAAGCAGAAATGCAGAATATTGTTAAAAGTCCACATGATTTGCAATTTTCATACTAAGTTTAAACAATCTTTTGCTTTTTGTTCTTGGCATAATTATTTAATATCGCTTTGTTGGAAAATGGATATTTTAATTAATAAAACCGTTTTTTTTTTATTTTAGCTAGTTTGGGTACAATAACCAATCCAATTGGTTCCATTTTATCTGGAGTATTAGCTGAATATATGGGAAGAAGAAGAGCTATTCAGGTGACGGCTCTACCATTGATTCTGGGATGGATGTGCTTTGGATTAGCTCAGAATGTGAATTGGCTGTATGCCGGAAGACTGATTACAGGAATAGCAGCAGGTAAATAAATTATTACTAAGAGATGAGTATTTGTATTTTAAGCTAAACATATAAAATAATTAAAATATAATTTAATGCATATAGTGCATTAAAGTTGCCTACAATTTATGAAGAAGTTTAAGATCCAGAAGGTAGTTAAAAAAACCATTAAGAGTTTAAAACTCGACGTTTCGGTATCCATTTTGGAGCCATTATCAAGAGAGGTTTTGTTTGAGTTCGTAGTCTCAATCTGCCTACTCACTCACTCGTGGCATACCACTATCTAGTTCTCCAGAAATTCGAGAAACATCAAACGCCATTGAGGTCGAAATATGCCTACTCTTACTGTCGAGTGGTGTTTGGGCGTTTTTCAACTTCGATTACTTCATGGATAATTCTCGCTTTTAAGGAGCGAATACGAACGATGGTTTTTGCTTTTTCGAAATCTATTTTGTGACCTGTCTGAATATAATGTTTGACTAGGGCTGAAGTAGTATCGGAATGTTTTACAAATAGAGAATGTTCGTAAATACGGTTGTGGATTCGTCGCTTGGTCTGTCATATGTATGTTCTTGGGCAACTGGAATAAGGTATCTAGTCGATGCCGTGGTCTTAATTGAGAATTTGGTCTTTTACGGATCTGACGAGATTGTATACCTTGGAGTGAGTATTGGAGATGGTTTTGTTGTTTAGAAGGTTGAGACTTCTACTGATCTTGTAAGTGACACCTTTGATAAAAGGTAGATATAGTTTACGTTGATCAGTCGGCAATGATCAGTTACTTTATTTGCAAATTTTGCAAGAATAAAATCTCTTATAGCAATTTAATATTGGTATTGTTAAGCAAACCATCCATTTCATAATAATTGGTCTATGTCTGTCTATGTCTAAATATAATGAATTTTTCATTTCCAATAAGGCAGCTGAATCACATGAGCTAATCACATCAGCTGCCTTATTAAAATCAAAAAGTTTCCTTTTTGGAAGTTTTTCTGAACTGTGAGCATCTATTTGCTTTATTTTTCTTGGGTATAGATATAAATGTCGATCTAAGTCAGTCTTCTGGAAAGATTACAGTGGTATATATTTTGTTAAATAATGGTGTTAACGTCTGAAGATTTTCTTCATTGGTAAGCTTTATCATATCTACGTATATTTCATCTGGACCTGAGGCTTTTCGTGGCTTTGCCGTTTTGATTGTTTTCGTAACTTCCGATGTTAATATATCAAGTAATGTTTTTTGTCATCATCATCATCATATAACGGGGGTCCTACGGCGATTGCCGCTTCCCGCATTTCAGCCTCCATCTTTTCCTATCTCTCCAATCTCCCTCTTCTAAGCCTCTAGATTGCATTGTTTTTGTAATTTCTCTTCTCCAGGAATTTGGTGGTCTTCCCCTTTTCCTTCTTTCTGGCGGAACATACATTAAGGCTTTCTTTGGCCACCGCTCCTCCTTCATTCTCATCACGTGACCATACCATTGTAATTGCCTTCCTAGTATTCTATCTGAAAGAGTATCTCTAATTCCTGTACGGTTTCGTATTTCCTCATTCCTGATTCTTTCCATTCTCGATACTCGACATGACCTTCTAAGATAATCCATTTCCACAACGTCTACTTTATCTCGTTCATTCTTTGTCATCGTCCAACATTCGGCACCATATATGGTAATTGGTTCTACAATTGCTCTGTATACGCGAAGTTTGGTATGCATCTTTATTTTATTAGACCACAGTAATGAATTCAGTATTCGGATGCATTTTTTCCCTTGGGTTATTCGGTTTTGTACATCTATCTTAACTCTGCCATCTGCTGATATGATGCTTCCTAGATATTTATACTGGTTGCAGCCTTTTATGACTGCGTTTTCAAGCCTCAGATCTGTGGTATTTCCTCCAATTTTTAAATATTCTGTTTTGCTTATGTTTACAGTAAGCCCCCATTTGACATATTCCTCAAATAATTTTCGATTCATATAATTTATATCTTCCTCATCGGTTGCAACCACCACCTGATCATCTGCAAACAACAATGTATACAGAGTTTCTTGTCCCACTTCGATGCCCATAAATCTACATTTATTTCTCCAATTCCTCAATGCTTCTTGGACGTATATTTTAAAGAGTGTCGGTGACAAACAGCATCCTTGCTTTAGGCCTTTAGTGACTTTAAATTCATTTGAGGTTCTGGTTCCAATTTTTACACAACTAACTGCATTTTCGTACAATTTATATATCGCTCGGATATACGTCGAATCCAATCCGGACCTTTTGAGGACCTCAAACATTTTCTTTAACGGGACACTGTCATATGCTTTCTCAAGGTCTATAAATACCAAATGGGTCTCTCTACTTCTTTCGACACGCTTTCCAATTATTTGTCGTAGGATAAATATATTATCAAGGCAGGATCTCCCGGTACGAAAGCCGCTTTGTTCTTCGATGTTTTTGTAAAAAGCGTTTTGAAAAAAGCGATGTTTTTTGTACTTTGTTCATTTGTGGTTATGTTCTCTCGTCATCAAACAGATCTTTGATGTACGTTTCCCACATATCTCCTACATTTTCTGCACTAGATACTATTTGGTTGTTATCATCTACTAAAGTTGTTGTAGTGCTTTTTTTTCTTCATATTTGTGACTTCCTTAATCTATTCATATGCATTAGTAGTCATGCTTTTTTAGTAAATCTCCCAGTTTCTCACAGTTGTTGCTTATCCATTCTTCTTTGGCTTTCTTGATTTTGTTTCGGATGATTCTCTGTAATCTCTCATGTATTCTTTGTTTTTCTGATGTTGTCTTGTAGTTGCTCTCTTTGTATAGTTGTGATTGTTGTTTTGAAGGTGTGACAAATACTTTCTATTGTTTCTTCTGCTCCGCGGGTACTTCACTGAACTTTTCTTTGAGTGTATCATCTATTTTTACCTGTACTATTGGATCTTTAAGTTTTTCGAAGCTAGGTTTTATCTTCTCTCTGTATTTGATTTTCTTTAGTTTAATTGAAATTTTACCCAAAACAGGATTGTGGTCGGAATCGATATATTTTAACTTCCTTGATTCCATTTCTATAGCGTTTGTCAATGAATATATAATCAAGTTGGTTTCTTATTATGCGGTTTTGATTATCGCCAGGTGGTGATCTTATTAGCAATAATAACTTTGTTTACGGCAACTCAAAACAGATTAGCAGATGTCTCTTGATACCACTCTTGAAGATATCGGAGCCAAGATGTTCTTCTTCAGCCTGGGCCTCTTCTTTCGGTGATCCTGCACTGAAGTATGAGGTGTAGAAGATCTTATCTCTTTGTATCTCTGTGGGTGTCTCATGACATGACCGACCGAAATATTGTAACTTTTGAATTTTTATTGTTTTTGTTATTTTTTTGGTCTATTTCATTCGGTGTAACACTATTTCATTTGTTATTTGATAAATCCAACTTATTCGCAATATTGGTCGGTAAATCCACATCTCAAAGGTCTTCAATTTTTTTATATCTCTGGACAAAGAGTCCAGCTATACGAAAAAATTGATTTGAATATATTAACATATGTAATGTAATGTATTGTATGTGTAAAAACATGTAGTGGTAAAAATCTTATTCAGCACCTAATAAATGTTCTTTTTATTTTAGGAATGTCTCCAGCTTGCTACACCTACGTAGGAGAAATTTCCACATCTGAAAATAGAGGATTTATGCAAACTCTAGGTCCAATATGCGCCTCTTTCGGAATTCTACTCACATACACTCTGGGTTACATCATGAATTACGCAACAGTAGCCTATATTAGCATAGCTTTTGCTCTTTTCTCTGCTGTAGTTATCCAACTTGTACCAGAGAGCCCATCCTATTTGTTGAAACACGACCGAATATCAGATGCCTTCAACACATTGCTATGGTTCAGAGGAAACAATGCCGTAGCTCAACAAGAAATTGACAGATTCCAAGAAAATCAAAAGGAAAGCAACAGTAAAAATATGACTTTTAAAGAAATGTACTTCGGTCCACAGACTGTAAAACCGTTTTTAATTTTAGTTGGTCTCTTTACGCTGCAAGAATTTTCTGGCATTTATACATTATTAATGTATGCAGTTAATTTCTTTAAAGAAACTCATGTACCTCTAAATGATTATGTAGCTTCTATTATTGTTGGAGCAATAAGATTTTCTATGTCTGTCGTCATAGCTTATCTTATCAATATCTATGGCAGAAAGACATTATGCACGATGTCGAGTATTGGTATGGCCCTTACCATGTCTGTAGTGGCAATATACGTAAAATATTATGAAATATACCCAGACAAAGAAAAAGTTGTTAGCTACTTGCCACTAATAGGTGTCATGTTAAACGTAGCATTCAGTATGGTGGGTATGCTTCCCGTTCCGTGGGTCATGGTAGGAGAAATGTTCCCCTTGAAAGTCAGACCCATAATGTCCGGTATAGTGGTGAGCTTAGCGCAAATGTTAATATTTGTTTGTGCAAAGATTTATATTAATATGAACGACGCTTTAAACTTTAGCGGAACTTTAATAGTATTTGTAGTAGCTTCAATTCTAGCTGCTATTTACTCAAAGACTATACTAACAGAAACTAAAAATAAGACTTTGGAAGAAATCGAAGCTCATTTTAGAGGAAACAAAAAAGTGAGTCCAGTTGAAACTATCGAGGGTGTCGATAACACAGGTTTTGATAATTCTTCTGAAGAGGTAAAGAAAGCAGACGTTGTCAGTATAGCTGTAGAAACATAGGTAATAACTGTTACTAGATTTTTTTACTTTTATAAGCAAATTTGTGATTCCTATTACCATTAAGTATTAGACTAAGGATTCAAAATACTTTGTACCGGTTCTTATAGAACTACCTTATTTATTTTATTGTATATATTTAAATAAATTGTTTTTTTTTTATTTAATTATGTTTTATTTTTCTCGTTTATTTTTGTCTTATTTGTATGTTTATATACACTCTGCCCTAAAAGATCCAGATGGACGCTAATGTCATGCCTTTTGCACCATTCATTAGTGATAACTTGATGACAATGCACGTTGCCATACAGCAAGATCTACCCGTGAGTACCTTAATGAGGTCGGCATTCAATTTATATTATGACGAGCATACAGTCTCGATTTTAATCCAATTAAGCATATCTGGGACAACCTCAAAAGACGGGTAAGAGCAAGAGTACCAGCCCCTGCATCTTTGAAGAGCTGAAGACAGCTGCGGTAGAGGAGTGGCACAATATACCCCAATCTGATATCCAGGATATCATCAATGGATTGGCAAACCGGCTCCAAGAAGTCCTAAGGGCTAGAGGCGGCAACACCCATTTATAATACCCAATTTTTTTTAATTAAACTTTTATTCCAAAATATTGTTAATTTGAATTTTATTCATTGGATTTTTACTGTAACAAATTTTTTCCCTTCCGCGGAGATAAAAATTGATAAAAAACATGTCTAGTTATTAAAGCACCTAAGTTTTGTATTATCCACCATAATCAATCAAAATCATCAATCAATCAAAAAACAAACTGTTGAGAAGGCATGAGGCTATAGTTACGATTTAATTTCAGTATTCTACAAATGCTAGAATATTCCACAGGGTGATGTAAACTTAAAAAAAATAGTGTGACTCGTAACCGGTATACAATGAAAATTTACATGTTTAGCAACAATATTATTATAAAGATATTGTCAAGGAACAAGGCTATAACATATTAAAAAAATCACTTAAATTGGAAAACAGGTTTAGGAGATATAAGAAATAAAAAATTACCCATTTTTAAGGTATGATACTAATTTAGACTAGAGTAAATACAATACAATATAAAAAATACCTATACTGATTTAGACTAGAGTAAACTGTAGTTGTTTCAGTTTTTAAAATCAGTCAACTACTTAAAGAAATGAAGCGACAGAAAAAAAAACGATGAATGTCAATGTTTTGGCCATTTTACGATTTTTGCGCCATCTGTAAGCTTAGAAAGAGTACTATCAGCCTGTTTAATACCGATAAAAATTGCCGTAAAAATACGTCAGAAGATTGAACGCAAGGACGAAAAACGGTGATCATTCTGTATGTTGTCATATTTTGTTCAAGACCCTAAGCTCTCTTGTATGCCTTAGTGATTTTTAGTTAATATTTGTTTTGTTAGAAGTATAAACTGTGATTTGGGCGAAAGTAGTCCAATGGGGAAGATATCAACAAAATCCACGAAAAAAAAAAAAAGAAAAAAGACAGAATTCATGGACGACGTGATGAAGAAATTCAGGCCGTCAACAAACGTAACAGGTCCAGAATGTAAACAACAATACTTATTTCCCATTTTAATAATCTTGGGACTTGTGTGTTGGTAAAAATAGGTGTTTATAATCGTGGAAAAATGCATCGTGTCTTTTTAGAGCAAAAGTTGATGGGCCATACAGGATGTGACTGTTTGCTTTAAAGCTTTCATTTCTCTATTTGGAATTACTCTTAAAGGGGTTCAGACAATTTCGAAATCTCTGTTTGCTTTTGTTTGTAGCCCGAAAGATGGGAGGGACATATATTCAAAAAGACCACAGAAACTTCTAGAAGAAAATTATGCATTGCTGACTGAGGTTATAATATCTTAAAAATGACGCAAGTCACACATTTTCAGACACATTTTCAGACAAATGCCCAACCCTATTCCTAATAGAAAACGAACGGATAATTATTAGAAAAATATACGACAAGAAAACTTACAGGGTCACTTGCTTCTGATCTAGGGGCCATCAAGACATTCTTTGGTAGGCAAACAAAACTGGACCACGGATACAGTGTTATAACATTTAGGATAAACAAAGGATACAAATCTAAACTTCCACACGATCATGACCAATTCCATGCTTGCGTGCAAACTCTATAGAACCATGCATGTATCTGTGAGCCTGTAGCCAGTAGCGACTGGATATTGAATAGTGCATATATTAAATTCGACAAATTTTTTATAGAGAGTGTTTGAATGCTATTGAAACTTAGAACATTTAAAAAA